ACGATCTATATGTTTATCGAAAGTATCTATCAAGATTACATTTTTTTGTCTCGCGTTTGACGAAATATGAGGGCCATTTCGGCCTAATGCCAAATCGATCGGATACACTTTAATAACGAGATTGCAATATTAGTTTCGTGCCGCATAAATTCCGCATCCGTTGCATCCGTTCCGCCGCATATCCGTTTGCATTCCACGCTACGAATATGCACCGCAACGGAACGGAGAGTCGCCACCGCGACTATCCAGCGCATAACAGCGACTGCATTGCGCATCCTGTGCTGTATTAGTAATACACTTGCGTCGGTGTTTTGATTCGCTCTCGCACGTTTTGAAATATCTCGCTTGCGATAAGCACAGTCGAATGTGAGAAAAATACAACGTCATCCCTTTAATGGGATTACTAATGCGAATGTTCGAAGTACTTATTTCACGCTGCTTTGCGCGATGTGATTTAATAAATAGGATTAGGTATAAATACATGTGTGTACATATATGTATACACAAGACGTATCTTAAATAGCGTTATTCGTTATTTCTTATAAAAAAAAGTAAGTCCAAAAGTTCTGAATTTTTTTCTACAATGCTCAGTAAAGCTGTAATTACTGCAACAGTGATTGTGCATTGAAGAAAAAAATTGTTCAGGACTTTTCGACTTGGTTTTTACAAGGAATAACACTATATAATTGATGAACGCTATTTAAGATACACCCAATATATATATACGTATATATTGTCACATATACAATACAGAATATCTCTACTGGTTCCACGACGCATTAACACGATCGCGCGAATACGTTCACTTTAAATGCGCAACAACCGGTTTGCGCGAGCTGATACCAGAAGAAGAGTAAAAGCCCGGCATCGATCGGCTTACGAGATCGCGTGACCGATCACCGTTGCGTGCAACACACGGGTATTCTTACGGATCGATTTTCCGTTTTTCATCTCGAACTATTGTCGTGAGGATACGGTACGTGACTTTCGATAACTGACGCGATCTCCCTCGTAGCGATGAATTAGATCGCCCCTTAATCTTCGTAATTCAAAGGAATATATCTTTCACCGGTTATTTTAACGGTAAGATTTACGTAATTGGGATTTTCATATATCTCTCGGCTCGAAAGGAAAAGTACATTGCAAATCGCCGACGTAATGATGAATGAAAGTTGGAAAACGACTAGATAGTAAGAGTGAGCAGCGATTGTGTGATATATGAGGGAATTAATATAAAAGGAAGGAAAGTGAAACAGAAGTAATTAATTAAAGTATTCTAAGTTACGCAATGTACATGACGCCGAGAAAGAGAATGTGCAGCACGCGCGGTAGAAATATAAGAAAGAGCCACACCTCCAATATTATAAATATAAACAGATACGAAATATTCTTCTATTTAGGCTCGCATGTATAAACATGTTTGTAGACGATTCTCGTTTATAAATACGTCATTCCTAGAAGTTGGTAAATACGCAATTCTAATAAGCGCTCGTAAACAAACAATTCCTATCTCTAAAAATGCAGTATGGGTCTTTGTGTAAAAGACACGTAAATACGTCGGTTGCAAAGGAAAATTGCGCATATGGCTGATGAAATATCTTCTTTAGAAACGCAATTTAATTTAACTTTATGCGATAACGGCAAGTTTGTGTAACTCGTTGCAGGGAGATAAATTTGGGGGAAAAACTAGTAAAGTTTTGTCCACGCTACTAGAAATCGAGAAATGTATAGCCAATCAATTTGCAGCTTTTAAAGGTAACAATTTTATTGGCTGTACAGTTCTCGATTCGAGAATTCGGATCAATTTCCAGCACCGTGGACACAAGGCTTAAGAGCCGACCGAGATATATACTTGCAACGGCGCGTTTCACAGTCGCAGCGAGTGTCTTTTTCCGCCGATACAAAGACACGCGAGGGCGAATGACTCATGGAAGAAAAACCTTACACACTCTCGATTCCACTTGCTACTCGCCGTTACTCATACCCCGCGATACAGTCAGTCTCTGGCGCTATTTTCGTCCGCCCCGCAGCACAATAAAGACCCCCGCGCGCGTCCAGCTTTTATCGACAATTCATTGGACTCGAGCCGATCTCTCGACCTCGCGCTGCTTTGTGCGAGTCATGCGAAGATGTTACGTATATTGTCTCGAGAAGGTGCTTACTCCCGATAACGACGTCTGTTTGTCCTCCGCGCGGAGATAAAAGGTGCGCAAACAGAAGAGACACATCGCGACTACCGCAATGATTATATTGATTACGCTTGCATACGAGAGCCGATTCGGAAACGTATTCCCTATTGCAAGAACTATCGCGATGCGATAACATTTGTATCTTTCGCGTTTTCAAATAAAATGTTTTGTTTTGTGTCTTTGTGTGTCTCTCCGATCCTGTATGGATCGGAATAAAAAGTTGAACGAGTGGACGTAGTAATAACAAATATTCTTTGTGCAAAAACTAGTTCGCGAACGTGCTCGTTTAAAAACATGTCTGTTCCAAACGACTTTATTTTGTTATACAACAAAAAAAAAACAGATGGAGTTAAAAGAGAAAATTTATGAAGACATCGGATTTATGGAGAAGTTAACAATAAGTAACGCATAATTGAAAGATTATACATTTGAAGAATCTCTTCGCGCATATTTGAAAATAAGCATCGCGCAACCTCATGGCAGAGTTAAGGCTGCCAGACACAAAAGATGTCCTTCAACTTATCTAATAGAATTTTAATCGACTTTGTCAAGATTGTAAAATTATTGCTCTGGGAATTTCTTTTTATGCGGAAAAAAAATTCCACTCCAATCCCGGTCGAGAAATTGAAGAGATCGTTGCCATTCTTCTAAAAGCGTGAGAGAATTAATTTAAATTTAATTCAACTTTAAGACTACATTCACATCAAAAATTAGAAAAATGAATCAAACAACTGCTGCATCAAGTTCTTGAAAAATCGTCTCTCTAATCTACTCGTTTTTTTTCTTCTTCCATAAATATGCGCGATGTTTTGCATAAAAATCACAATCTCGTGGAAACAATATCGCGGATTTTATCGCATGACTCCGACATTTCTCGAGAAATTGAGAGATGATGAGAAAAATGGTGCATACTTCAATTATTATCTATCGCGGCGGAGATGCACAAATGTCGCCGAAGCTCTCGCGCCAACTTGGCGCATGAATAGTTAACGTCGTATTTGCATGTAAATTGTCTTAGTCCCGACTCGTCCGCGCATCTCGAATGTCTATACACAACACGAAGATGTTGTGTGATAATGAATGGCATTTTTTTCTGACTTCTCTCGCCTATATTGCACACAAACATTTTTTATCTTACACATGGATTACAAGAATCGATACAACATAAATGTCATTGCATGAATTATTAATTGATCTCGGTATTATTTTAATTTGCTAAATTTTTTGTGAGTACAAATTTAACGAATATCTCCAGAAATTTAGTTTAATTTAAACGAATGTAAAGATTTGAAATAATAATTCGGGGTAAAGTGTTGAATTTCGAAGGATAAAATTTCGCGCAAAGATGTCTGACAATAAAGTAAATTGTGCACGCGTAAGATCCTCTGATTCGAATCTGCTCCATCGCGCGCTCCGTCGAACAAGTAATGATCCCGACTGTGTGGTTGCGCAATATCGAAGATCATCGTTCCGACCGAGGGAGCAAACGGAGCCGAGTCGTAGGCCGAGAGGCAGCACGACGATTTTGTTCGTCCACCGAGAAAACTGGGACACGGCGAAAGGAAGAATGAGATTTGCAGCGGCGTTGCTAGGCTTTTGTGTCGACCCGGTACACGTGGTGGTAATTCGCGGTGGCTCACGGCTACAAGGGGCACGGCGCTAATGGAGTCAGTGATCCGCAGACCTTGTACAGGAGAAACGGTCCGTTCGATAAAACCAGTTGCGCGTCGCTCCTATAGGCGAATATATACGGTATCGACATCCCGCGCGTGTACAGAGGGGCTCGAGTCAATCGATATTATTCCCTCTCCGTCTTTTATATCTGACGCTAGCTTCGATGTGGAAATTGTTTACATTATTGAAAAGCGACAAAGTTTCGAATTTTACCTCCGTTTGCAAAATTATTTCTCACTCAATCTACACCGCTTCATAATTTTCTCATTTGATTTGGATATTTCGTTTTTTAAAATAATTATCGACTTAAATATTTGACGATTAAATATTCGTTCATTTTGAATCAACAATAAATGAAAGAGAGAAATTGTGCAAATTACTCATTTACATCATACTCGGAAAGAACAATTTTGCTGAAAGATCTAAAAGTTTTGCTGGATACAAATCTGAATATACATAATTTTGTTGGAAAGTCGAGAATGAGCATTTCTGTAAAACTTTTTGATGTTCTAACAACCAGTTTCAATTTCCAACAAAATTATCTTGATAGTCCAGTAAAATTATTTTCGTATCTGTATCTGTATCCAGTAAAATTTTTAGAGTTTCTAGCAAAATCGTTCTTTCCGAGTGTGATATAAATGAGTGTAATATAATTGCACAATTTCTGTGTAATAAGTAATAGGTAGAATTTCAAATCAAAGCCAAGAGATGTATAATAAATCGTATCTTGCTTCAAGCTCGACTATACCCTCCAAATTGGAGTTCGCCAACTTTATGCGACAGTTGAAACTTCGTCCTCGTTTCAAGTAGAACGTCCGACTTTGTTTACTTTATTGAACTGGAATAACGTGTATCGAAGATAGGAAAAGAATGACATGTAGTATAACGCAGAGCAGCGTCGATGGCAGACGTTTTCCGAGAGAAAATTCGATCGCGATCGCGACACCCTTCTATAGGACGATTCGATCGATCCCGCATTAGCACTTCCGATAATCACGAGCATATAACGCGCGGCACAACGGGGATAAGCGTAATATGCGCACACATAGATAAACACGGGCGCACGTGCTTTTCTATAGCCAAGCCGGGATCGCGTAAAGAATACGTAGTGAAGAATCGATTGCATGTAAAACTGACCTTATTCCAACCGTAATTTATGTAGACTCCTTTGAGCTCATCTTCGGTCGAGAGTTCCGTGTTCGGGCTGTTCGGCGGGCTCTTCGGGCTGCAAATTCAAGGAAACGACACGTTACGATCCATAAAACGTTGCAGATCATGTGTAAGCGGTAACTTCCCGTCACGAAATCCTCCAATGGAGATCGTTGTTGCTTATACGCTTATTTGTTTAACCGACATCACTCGACACTTATCTTTCGGCTTACTTGATCTGAAAAGTCCGACGATTATCTCTACACTCGTGCTCTTTTTACAGACGTCCGAAACGTCGAGTGATTGATTTTATTTTAAAATATATTCAATAAAATGTACCTTTAATAATTTTTTTTTCATGAAATACTTCAAATAGTAGAAATGGAATCCATGCATAATTAAAAAAATGCATTAAAATAAAAATTAAGCGTTTCATATTGACTAAGCCAAATCACGAAGAGTTAATTGAGAGTTCATTTTTGGAATTTATGTGTGTAGAAAATGTAACAGAAAAATATATATTATTTTTATTAAAAAGAATAAAAATTTTATTTTCTATTCTCTATTCTCTATATATTATTTTTATTATATTATTTCTATAACGCAAAATAGATACTTCATTTTCTCCGTACGCTTTCTTTTCGACTGACTTGCGTATATAGAATCGCTGAGAAGTGTCGCCAAGTTCGCTTATCGCCGATAATATTATTCGTTCCGGTGGTGCGATAAGTGCGACGCGCGAAAAGCCGCCGCAATAAATGTGTCGTCTTGGAAGTTCGCGACCTCCCGCGTATTTACGTATGCGTAATCCATCAGTGCATCGCAAACCCCGACATCGAATCCGACGGCAGTCGCAATGCGGTCGACCGCTGCGGTTATCCTTTCGCTTGGCGTTCGATATCATGCGAATGAAGAAGAACGATGCAATCGCTATCGGACCCGGTAATCGTCGATGCACCTCGTGTGAAAAGCCGCAAGTCGCGATAAGCGCATTTATATCAAGTGCATCGTGTACACATGTTACGCGTTATCGGCTCTTCTACCTTGGTTTTTCTTTTTTTTTCTAGATAAAGCGCGATGTTGTTTTTTTTTAACGCGCGCTCGTGTACGCACTTAAATACAAAGATTAATGTCTTAGTCTCTTTTATGTTTCGATGAGATACCTTATGTAATCTGATGTAGTTTATTGATGTTTATTTATTTAATCATGCTGATTAAAGTAATATTGATATACGGATGACCTGGCGGAACTCCTAAGAAGAAATGTTCGTTTTTGTCTAAACTATATATATAGATACAATTTTTAACAATTGCAAATAATTAGATAAAAAATATTAATAAAAAGTCTATTGTTATGCAAATGCTTTTGTCTGCCTGTGTGTGAAAAAATAATATAACAAAACTGTTTCTTTCATTTTTGTTTTATTACAATTTATCAATCCATTTGATAATAATAATAACTATAAAACACATGTTTTTGTTAGAAACGTAATCTAATCATTGCCAGTTTATTCCTTTGTGTTGAGTTAAATAAAACGTTCAACAATTATTGTGCCCGTATCGTTTGCCAAACCGGTTGACACGCAGCCTACGCTAATTTCCTTGCTGAAAATCTTTTGCCACTCGCAAAGGCACCAGTAGCGGGCGATATCGCAGAATACACAGGCGAAGCAGTAAAGCGGATTAAACAATTCGCTGTGACGTGCGCGCGACGTATGCCGTCCGCAGAATGTCGTCTCGAGATTTGAATGGATATTCGCGCAGGTATTGTCAATAACAGGATCGCGACTTTCACGCTCGAGATAACATTACACAGAGTGAAAACACGCACACACATACATTGCACATATATACACACAATAGACACAGATCGATGTCTCTTCTATGACGCGCCCGAGTGCCGCATGTAACATTCCTCGTGAATTTTCGCTAAAACTCGACTCTCTACGTCAAAAGAATTCGCGACTGATATCTTTGATAAATCACTCTGTGCATAAAGACATTGTTCCTTTGTCAAGCAAATCGCGCACAAAGGCGCGTTAGTTTGTTCCCCTGCCAAGATATTTGCGCGGGTCTCTCAATGACGCTATTTTAGCCGTGTTAAGAGACACGTGTTAATTTAGCGTTCGTCTGAACGGCGAAAGCAAAAATACAGACTGCTCACTAATTGTAACTCTTTGTTCTGCACGAGCGACACGCGTTTCTACATTATTGCGATGCGATCGAGACTGAAAGTCGATTTTAATGCATTACTTAATGCATCGGTTTGAAATCAGGCATCAAGGTGACCGAATCAGTATAGCAATTATGTATCGATTAAATTTTGCTCGAGTTTTTATAAAAGGAGAAGAGCTCGCTCTAAAAGAGACGTATAATTTTCCGATTGCCAATCAGCCGCGCATTCATAAAATTCAGAAAACAAGGAATTGTTTTTTTTTAATTACGATTCTCAACTTCCACTCTAAAGTTATTTCTCTACATATAATCCACGGTTTGCTAGAGCGCAATTACGATACAGCCAGTAGGTTATTCGCCTTTTTCAGCTTTCATCTACGCGACCTTGAGCTGTCCCGGCACTCGATGACGAAGAGACCCAAAAAAAAAAAAAAGTAATTGTGTGCACGCGAATCGTCCATTCCCCGTCTCTGACTCACGACGCTTATTTTTTTTCTACTCCGGAGAGCCCTTCCCAAGAGATAAAAGGGAACGGAAGCGGACTTTTTCTCTCGTTGCGTACTGGTGCGGCGAATAAGCGCGCCGAGAGAGAGAGAGAGAGAGAGAAAGAGAGACGCCGTCGTCGTACGACATTGCGCGCCGTCGAAGAGGACTCGAATGGATATGTGTATATATCTATATAGGTGTAAAGTTGAACGGCCGGCTTTGTTGGCCGAGTTCTTCGAACCACCCCGAGATTATAAGAGTCGACATACTATGCTATGTTTCAAAGCGCCTTTCGAATATTGGCTCGCAATGCTTGGCTCTGTCGTGTACGTCTGTAAGTCCCGTAGGAAGGTAACTTCGGTTAAAACTGTCCGCGTTCAATCGTAATTTTCCGGAAACCTCAAATCCGCGGTTTCGCAGAAATCGGCGTCCGAGAAGACTTTTTCCAAACTTTTCAACGAAGTTTCTAAAGCGGTGTGTACCTTACTTCGAAATCGCTTACCCCCTAGTTCTTAAAACATAGAAAAGTCCATTTGACGCGATGTCCATTTGACGAGACGTCGAAACGAACTTATAACTATTCGGAAGATCGAAAAAGTCGGAAAAATATTAATATGTCTTACCTGTCCCTCGGGGTGTCCCGGCGCGAGGACGCCAGGGAATGCCTCGCGGACGAATGTGTGGAATCCCTCTGTGCTTCCCTGAGAAGTCGCAGGTATTCGCGTTCGCCGGTGATGCTGAACGGCGTCGGCGTTATCCGGGCGGCCAGCGGCGGGTCCGGCACCAGCTCCACCCAGGACTCTGCGCAGTTAGAAAGGAAGATCTATTATTCCACGCTCATCCGCGATTCGGCCGCGATTCCGCGGGCTTTTAAGGTTACGATATACTTCCGGTGGTTCGCGCAACAACCGCTTTTCAGTGTCCCTCGGTGATAATAACGCACCATCCCCGCACGCGAGAAAAGTTTTATCTCGTAGAAGCAAGAGAGAATGAATAGAACAATTGCCGACAGTAATTTTCCCCGATTAATTTCTCATCTATATTTCATTTGCGTTATCATTAGCAAATTTCTCCCGGGATTAAATTTATTGTTACTAATAAGAAGAAATTGCCCTGTTGTTTCTGAATTGAAAAACCTTTGAAATTCAAATGTCTTCAGCGAAAGCTTAATAAGACATTACGTGTTGTAATTTTTCAATTTAACGAGGTACGAATTGAAATGTTTAACGTCTTGTTAAACATCGTTTCTAATCTCCTTAAAGAGTGCGTTTAATGTCGATGTCGATATGCTCGGTGTATAATGCATGAAGAGTGAATGTCGTTGAACGATATACGCGATGACACACTGTGGCATCTTTAAAAATAGCATCAACAGCCACCATATCGATCACGGTAACCCCACGAGGTCAAGTTGAAGGGAAATTTCATACTCTTTTCTTTATGTAAATAATACAGCGTCGATTCTTATAATATCAATTTTCATCGCATGTAACATTAATTCTTTGGAAATAAAACAGTCGAAAACGTAAAAGAAATTTAATATTTCCAAATGAATAAATATTAAAATTACAATTTCAAAAACAATTATTACACATCATTGTATTTAAAGAAAACTATTTTCTTTGCAAAAAAAACATACCATTATTTAATAATCTTCATGTATTATATCTTATAATAACTTTTATAGACATGTTCTTTTTACGTCTTTAACGTGATTCACGATTTTCGTACGCAAAAACATAATAATAGATAAAAACGTGCTTGAGCACGTATTTGCAATAACAGTTTCCCAAGGGCAGTCTCGCCTCTTTTATGTAAGTGAACGCGATATGCAAATAAGACTCCGACACATTTATTCCAAAACGATCGTTTTGGTAGAACGATTTCGTTCTTCGTATTGTATGCTAACAAAATGCTCAGCATGCGTAACAAAATAAATGACGCGTGACGACTTTCCAAGCTAATCAATAACAAGATCAAACGAGATCAATATCAATCTTCTTTATATTTAATAAAATTAAATTCTATAAGTTTTTTATATAATAAAGTACACACTTTGCCAAATATAGACCGAACGGATTGTAGATTTAGAATACGTAAGGATAATTGTAGTAATAATGATATAATAATATAATGATGATAATAATACGAAATTAGGCATCATCTTTTGATAAATGCGGAAATCTTTTGCTAGCTTAAAAATAACAAAGAATCGTGCTTCGCAATTTGCAAATTATCACATAAATATTTCACGAACTTTAGCTTCTAAACAATAAGCTCATTGGAATACTAATAAAAGTGGCATGAATAATTAATCGATACTGTCCATACCTATAGCTATATATATAGCTAACAGCCGAATAATCAACAGTGCAGATTATTCAACAACACAGCTACAAACAAATAATATAAAAATAACATAAATCTTCATAGAGAAGCTTTTGAACTACGCGCTATCAACATTTCGCTTTAATTGGGATAAAATAAAAAGAAATCCGATTTTGTGTTGTGCGATGCAGATCACAAGAGACGCATCTATATACGTCTAGTAACAGGCTCTTCCTCCTCAAATCATTGTTTCATTTTGCAACAAAAATTTATAAGACTCTGTATTAAAATTGTACCGTCTCGACTAAGAATAAAGTATTTATTTTAATAAAATACGTATAGGGCATATCAGAAAATAAAAATTAGTGTTTATAAAAATATTAACAGAGGAACATTTTATTTATAAAACTGGATAATGAGTAGATAAACAAGATCGCATTTTAATCGGCAATTTTACAAAATGTTACCTATAATATTAATTTTATTTATAACTAAGTTTTAGTAATTTTACAATAATGTTATTACAATAAAAAGATTTTGATGGTATGTTAGGTGAATTAATTTTACATAATTATTTTCATGCGAATTCACGCTGTTAATAACAATTCGTTAAGCACATGTGAAATGGTGCGATAAAATGTTCTGCGCTTGCAAGCTCTGGTAACGTAATCACGTAACGAGAGAATGATCTCATCGCCATGAAATCTCGAGTTCATCTACCGTCACTTCGACGAGATTTGCTAACTGCATAACGGATATGAATTTACATTCCACGCTCCAACGCGTTCCTATTTCCACAGTTACGAAACTATTCGCGCTATCGATGCGCGCATAGCGTTTTAATCTTACTTCGTCCTCAACTTTAGCAAGTCTCCTTCGTAGAAGCGATTAATAAACGAGCTTTCCATAAACAAGTTTCATTTCTCATAATTCAATTATCGCGGGATCCAACGTTATCATGACCGACCAGAGTTCACGTTCCGCGGTTTCAAGTTCTTGACTTTCTCGGCGATACAACGTATCGCGCTTGACAAGCTCTATTTTAAGGCACCGTTTAGACCTCGGAATATTTATATTAACTGTATTAATAAAACATCATACCGAATAAAAAAGTAATCGTGTAATCAAGTTACAATTCAAGTTCTTATCAACTAAGTAAAATTTATATGTATCACGGAGAATTGACAGGACGGGAAGGGAGGATAAAAGCAGATTCGTCGTTTGGGGCAATCGGTTTGTCAGTCACGATAAATCGTCATGGTGTTCACGCGGCTCGTTTGCGCGTCACGTGTAATGCACGTGCGACGTTAGCATTGCGCGATGACCACCGCCGCCACCGCCGCGCCGCCGCCGCCGCCGCCGCTCTTCCGCTCTTCTAGTCGCGCAAATCATCCGGGGGCGATAAGGTTTACTTCGAGTTCGTTCACCTATTCGTAAACCGAGTCGCGAGTCACGTTCGCACTTTCGCCCGATTTGACGCCGCCGATGATCGCGGCACGAGAAAGCAGTTAAAAAATAATAATAATAATACCCTCGGGACTCTCGCATTCTGCGAGAGAAGGGAAAACTGCGCTCTCCCGTATACGATTGTTCGAAACGATTTCGTGCAAAAATAAACTACAATAACGTGTACGCATATTGATTTTCCGTGTACACGAGACTAACGCGTTCTCTTGGCGACACACAGCGTTGAAAATCAAGCAATAAATTCGTCGTCACGCACGAACTTTCCGAAAATTTTTCGCGCTTACGCGGCGAACTTGTCACGCGATCCTTACCTCGAAACGAACGATCGACTGTCCAGGCACGCTCGAGATTAATGCGAGATTAGTGCAAGGATACGAATTGTAGAAATTAATAGTTACCGTGCGCGCGACTCTCTGTAATTCGTTTCTGCGGTGTATTAACGCATTAAAACCGTAAATCAAATTTCCGAGGTTTTTCCAAGGAGAGAACGCAGGAACGATACGACGCGACGTCGAGGCGACGCGACGGGACGGTATTCCACTTGCCCGTAATGAGAAAACAATTATCCATCATTTATAATCGCACCGATTACGGACATTTCCGCCGAAGTATTTTCAGAAAGAAAAAAAAACGCAATTTTCTCGACAAAGAATTTCCGCAGATATCGTCTCGCTCGAGTACGCAAGAGCATTGTAAACAGTGCGGCAGGCGATTTCGCAGACGAGTTTCGAACGCGTTTATACGTCAATTCGCAATATTCACATTGTCAGCCGCTTGGGGAAGATGCGCGCGATAACGCCATAAATACGGTGTCAGATCGTAACGAGGTCGTTGGAAAATAGAAAAGTCGACTCGGTAAACGCTCGTACGACGCCGTACGCGAGACGCCGTACGTCGCCTGACGTAAGTTCCTTATAGACAGACTTCGCCGCTCGATGTTTACCACATGTGGAATATAATGGAATTTAAAATCACGCGCTGCGCATTTCTAGCGCATCTTGTTCCGCTTAATTTCTCAGACACGAATCTACGTATATAGCGCGACGGCGAAGATGAGTGCGATGAAAAAGACGCGAAGCATTTCCGATTGTGGGAAATCAGAGATGTAAGCAAGAATTAATCCTGACAAAAAAAAAAGAATCTTAATGATTTTAAAAGACCTCTTATGAATATCGTTGAGCATTAATTTACTGGTAACACGTTATATAACGCGATACATGCACGCGCAGGAAAACAATCGACACGCGGCGAGAACGACTTGTTTCTCACGTCGCGCCGTACGGTATCGCGTCCTATAAAAATTCCGCACGTGTAAATTTGCAGCTCGTAAACGTCGGCTTTGCCAGCACTACACGCCGACGTTCTCGTTACACGTCCGGATTCGCGAGTCGCGTCGACGCGCGAGGCGGAACGGATGTTTACTCGCCGCACGTTGCCGCGCAAAAACCGCGGCACTGTAAGTACTTGCGTAATCCACTCGCATAAGTTCGCAAGCCGCGAGTTATGATGCAGAATCTCGGCCTAATCACGGACGAACGGACGCCGCGCTCGCGGCCGATCCTTTGCACGCCCTGCGGACTGCGAACGTCGATGGACGCCGCCGTCGGGGATCAAAGCGCCGGAGTGCCTATTCAGCAGAGACCCGGGGATTGCCATTACTTGATCAGCAGCGATCTCGTGCGAGTCAACGTGGACAGATTACGTCGTTTGATAGCGCTGACAAATCGGAGCTTCTACCCGCGAGATAAATCGGCCACTAGACGCAAGTCTAACGCGACAGTTAAGACGGCAAGGCGCGACAAAAGGCGCACGTGAAACATTCCTGACTATCACGATCATCAGAGACGCAGATAAGAATTAAATCTCGGAGTACGAAGAAAAGAGAATCTTATTTCATTAATATAAATTTATACGGTATCCGTCAATAACAGTTTTTATTTGCTATTTCTTAAATGTTTCATAGAAACTGCACTAATTATAATTATTAATGTGCATCAATAAGTCGTTAACTCATGTTACAATATCTGGCTGCTTCAAAAAAAAAAAAATCAACCTCAAGGTATACAATTTCATCTGTATTAAAAACACTACGGATGATTTCTAAAGATATCATATTACTTCACGTTAAGCACTCTCGGTTTCTATAGCCACTCGTTTGCCAATTACCCATCCCCCCGTAAATTAACTTACGATAACTGTCGCTTAACCTTCGTTAACCCGACCTTGGGCCATCAATCGCCGAGCTTGACATGTTACTTTCAATCGCTCTGACTCGAGAATGCAAATAACGGTATTTTTAATGTTTATCCGGAATCGCGTGGAACGGAAGATGGCTAATTTTTATTGTTGTGTGTCAGTAAATAATGCATTATCAGCCACGCGTCAAACAGTCGTTAAATTAGCTTATAACATAATTAAAGCTACAGCGGAAACACACGTATTCATGAAAAATTTAACCCCTATATTTAAAAAAAATTTCATAACGTCACGATTTCTCGTTCTCGTAATCAAGATATTATTAAAAATTCGGAAAGGTTACGAATGCTACATAGTGACGCTTATCAGGCAGACGGCGAAAAAACAATATTGGCACTGACCAGCCGTAAGTTGTCAGTACGAACACGTGCTTGCCAAGGCTGCACGTGTCGACGCTACACGAGTATCATGATACCGCAGGATGTGCAAGCCGATTCTTCACGACGCTTTGTCACTTCTTGCGTAAACACGTCCCGCAAACGGTCTCCATTGTATCGACGACAAACCGCAAAGTAGGAGCACCGTTGTTTGAAACGTTTGACATGGTTATATCTTCGAGTCAGTTGAAATTAAAGACTCCAAGCTGTTTTAAGCAATCAAGATTACGATAATTTACGTATAATTTGTTAACAATCAGACACGTGCGTTAGTTTGAGCTCTAACAGCCGTTTGCTTTTCAACTTGTGTTAATTAAAAATACAATGGAAATTCCCGTGATATTCCAAAAAAAAAAAAAAGAATATTTTTATCATTAAATTATAAAGTTCAAAAGAACAAGTTTTCTTAATCTTCCTCGGCAACTGGTCTGCACAAATGGAATCCTTATACGACTTTTCAAGCGCTTTTTTTACACGCTTATACTATATACTACATACTAACGAAACGAACAAACGTGCGAATTCTCATCGATTTTCCCGCGAGCTGCGATACGTGCCGCTCGTCTCGTTTCGCGAGGAAATTTCCGCAAGATCGCATCGCGCGATCCTCGAGAGACGAAGTTCACACCACTGCACACGTGCCCGCGTCTGTGGAATCGCTACTGGGTAGCTTCAATCAATCGGATTAAGGACCGGCGGCGGAGCTCTCATATACGGTCTAAAAATAGACACCTTCCCCTTTTCGACAGTCTGCCGTCATTTCGATTAGTACATCACGCTCGTGGGCGTGCACGCACAGCCGATAATCGCGCACGTACCCGCTTATCTGTGCCTTAAATTAAACATCCTTTCGTTGACAGCCAGATAAAGATGCAAATGGGCGAGCGCGAACCGTTTCCGTGCCCCGTGAATCTCGTTGTATATTTGTGTACGGCGCGGCATTGTGGAAAACGCAAAATTATTATATAAATTATTGTACGTTCGCAGACTCGATGCTTTCAAGTCGATCCTATACCTATAGCTGCAAATATATTTCGTATTTACCGAGACACACGCGTGATTTGGTATTGATCGCCACGAGTTTGAAGCGCGCTTTCAATACAAACAAGCGACGGCGATAAGTAAATCATTTTACATCAACTAAATAAAGGAAAAAAAAGCAGAGATAAATATTTTATCTTAATAACGACGCAAATAATGATCAGATGAATAGTCTCTGATATCAACGATTGTTTACACTTTAATATCTATCCATTTCTACAATTTAATCGCCGATATATATATATATATATATATATATATATATATATCGATATTAAGAAGTGAATCATCACATATGTTGACGTACACGGCGTTATATGTGCTGAAAATCATTCGTCCATTTGTCGGGACTCTTATCGAAGGCTGCACCGATTTGAGTAAACGATTCAATGGAAATTCGGTGTCCGTTTGCGGGCGGTTGACCTGCATCGCGCGGATCGGTGGTTCGACGAGCCGACCGACACAGACGTACGGGAGAATGTATCCGAGTAACCGCGTGAGCCGAGTCACGTAGGCTCCTGGGTAACGTCCGCAGGATGATTTCGGGTCAGCGCCGCTCCAACGAGTCCCAGGCTCCTGACGACGATCACGTATGTATGATCCGTTAGAACGACGTGCAGCGGACGATCGCGTGTCGCGCTATACCGCGAAAGGGAACGAACTCGCGAAGATGACTCAACGCTCCGCGGAGACGACCTCTCGGCTCCGAGTGATTATCTCGCAGAAATATCGCGCTATCCGAACGCTTACTACATGTCGCGTAGTGTTAATTTCTCGAGATTGCCGCCACAATTTTCGCGCACGCGAGCTCGCTCGTTTTCGAAACGGTTGCGCTTTGACGCTAATCAGAGAGCAGAGGACAGGAGAAGATAGATTTCGATGAATATTCTTTCCTTTTCTATAAGATCAATCGGAGAGTCTATTACGATTCTCGGAAATTGGTGAAAATTACAAAAGTGAGCGCATTTACTAGAATATTTATTATTTATTGATTTCACTAAATTAAATTTTAATTAAAAAAATTTAATTTTTGTTATTTTTATCAATTTTTCAGAACCGTAATAAGCTCCCTGAAATGCGACATTATTTCATTATGGTAGCAATTAAAATTATTGATATCGCTTCGATAGCTTAGACATAGATAACGAGTATTGTAACATACTTTCCGATCGAGAATGGCATTGAACATTCTATAGCGTTAGATTGTCGATATTATTATTAGTTCTACTGCGCACGACACGTACGTTATCTAGCTATGTGATTTCGATTAGCAACGAGAAAGAGATGTGACGACAACAACGACGATGACAGATCATCGTGACAGATACGGCCCTGATCTTGACCGAGCGCCGTACTCATTAGGGCTCATCCAATTTAAATAGAACACTCGGGCCACGCGAGTTCGCAGGACACTGACCCAATTCTATTCGCGTCGATGACCTCCCTACAGCCATCTCGGAGAAGGCAAAAGAGACGATTATTTTTAGAATGTTAAAAATGCATGCGCGATAATGCCGAAAGAGGAATTAAAAATTAACAATTTATGTACTGTTTTATGTACCTTTCCTCGTTTCTCATTTCTGCGCTCCGAAGAGCGCGATAAAAGTTTTTCTGCTAAAGAAGCAAAATCTTTGAATGTAACTGTTGTACATTTCAGTGCGAGATTTACTCGCGGTTACTTCCGGAGTTGAGAATACCTTGCCGTGTTAATAGGTCGTGCGATCCATACATGATTCATGACCGATTTCCGCGAGCCGCAATACACCACGCGAATAAATCACGCCGCCGGTATCTGACCATTAGACGTTTGCGCGAACACAGTAGTCTAAATGCACACATATGTAAAAAAAAAAAAAAAAGCGAAATGAAAATTTACACGGAAAAAATAGGTAAAAATTACTTTAATGCAGAAATCCAGAAATTGCAGAGGCGGTGTCTATAATTTCTCGTAATATGGCGTGAGGGAACTGGAGGCCGTAATCCGAGCCGCGAGGGATAAATTTAGCGTCGCGTACTCGGACACTTCTTGCAAAACATTATTTCACCTCGGGATTCATTATCGCCGAGAGAATGACACCGCGGCTATTGTTAACGCTAAAAAGATGCGGCTCGTAATTCAATGCGATCGAGAGAAGACGCGTGGCGGCGGAGCGGAAACAGATATATAGCGAGATCGCGGCGCGACCGAGATGACAGTGTCGGCAGGTGTCTTGTCTCTTTTTTCGTCGGGACTATCAGCCAGACGACACTTTGCAAAACAAACAGAGATAAAGATTGCGAGGCATATATACGCGTGCCCGCATGATTCAAGTGGCCATCTCGCACACGTGACAGACATTCGCGTGCGAGTGGCAAAGCGAGGGCTCGTGACCGAGACAATTTAATGTTAAAATCGGTAAACTTTCAGCACTCTACTACAACAGCGTGACTTAACGGGGGTATACGATTAAAAGATTTTTACAAACAAAAGCGCGGACGAAACTTAATCAAGAAATGTAAGGATTTCATTATCTCGGCATAATGATCTCTGCCGCTTGAAATTTAATTAGAGGAGTAGAAAGAAGAATACGAAGGGATGACGAACGGACGTATCGGGTAAATCATTTTTGCAGCGGAAGTCGTCACAAAAGTGATAAAGTTGTTTACGAGAGACTCGCATAATTTTCAGAATATTGCCGGCATGCGTTATGAATTATTAATAGAACGTCTGACCTCTTTCACTATAAAAGGATAACCTGCACAGCTGAAATATCGGCTTCCTCGCGGTCTGAAGCTTCCTCCAGGAAATTGTGGAGGAACTATATTATACGCGTCTGTCAAACATTTTTAAAAACGTTGGCCGGTATCTCCGGAATACTATTCGTGCGAAGTACGCAAGTTCATGAAATTAATTTCGCGAGTTTGTTATCGAATTCTCTCGTTTTTTTTTTATTTATATAAAAAAGTTGGAAACGCATTTCCCCCTGCGGATTTCCCCGCGAAATCGTGGATTCCCCAACATATTGCCACGACCCGTAACTCTTCGATTATTGATAAGGCGATTATTGATAATCGCCTTAACGCCACGATTGAAGTTTGTAATCGCCAATGTCTGCGACTCCTTCGGCATGCATATTGAAATGTTCAGCTGTTATCTTACTTTATCGCGTACACGTGCCGCGTGTCCAAAAAAATATCGAGGAAAAAATACTTCATTTACATGCAGAAAATTAAGTCAGAAAATTAATTAACTTAATTTTGACGGTAATTAATACGGTTATTGGATATTCCTGCGTCATTTCCGAATAAAAACGGACAGTAATCTCTTTCTCTCTTTTCTCGCGTCCTTAACCGCGAATATTTTATCTAGCCAGCTTATCGAAGGAAGCGGACCCTGAAATATGCGACAAAAGATAGTGCTTGTTTATTTAACTTGCGAATTGAAACGTTCGATTCTAGAATACCATATAAAGAGAATAATAAATCTATTCAATCCATAACGCTCGTTTCTTCCAGAAAAAAATGACCGAGGAAAACGTGGAACATCGAGAGTACGAAATGTGGAAAAAATTTGAATAAAATTAGGAAAAAAAAATCGGACGCCAGGTGTCGGGAGACAGGCGTTGTTTCCACGGGCAGCGGCGGCGCGGCTCGGGATTTGCAGTGCGGCGTACTTCGCGAGGCGTGCTGCGCTTCGCCTCGCGCCGTGCAACTTCGCGCGAGGCTCCGGCGGCCTGGGTGAAGTATCGATTCGCGCGCGCGAGACATCAAAAATTGAATCTTCCGCCGGGATGCGACGCGGCGGGTTGAAAGTATAGGCCCGAAATGGCGCCAAAACTGCGTCGCGCGACGCGCCTCCGACCTGCCTCCGCGGACGCGGAGGCAATCGCTCCGGTTTCCAGAGACGCGCGCGTTCGAGCGCACCGGGGACTGTCAGACGCCCGGACGGCGTCGTCGACGAGAGCGGGAGCGAACAACATCGCTCTCCGAGGATGTCGGAGGACGACGTCGAACGGCAGCGAGTCTGACAGCCGATCCTTCTCGGCGCCGAGGCGAACGGACGAACGGCACAACATCGGGAATGGCAGAGAAGTACGTTTGTTTACGCTTACAGGGAAGGAGAAGGAGGAGGAGGAGGAGGAGGCCAGGCAGGCGGGTGGACGGACGGGCAGGGACACTCCGCGCGAAATGGCCGTCGCGTCTGACAATCGGCGCGGCGCGCGTGGTTTTTCCAGCTTTTTGCGTTTTACTTACCGCTCAGCTGCTCGTCCGACGTGTACTTCACCGTGGACGACATCGCCGTACTACGATGCGCCGTACGTGGCACTTGCGGGAGAACTCGTTCGCGAGGTGGTACGCGAGCGGGGATGTATGTATATATGTATATATATAGTAGCGAACGAGCGAGCGAGCACCAGGACGAGAAACGACGCACGTAAACGTGGAACGAGGATGCGCGACGGGACGCTGACGGACGCTCACACGGCGACGACGGCGACGAGCAACGACGAACGTGACCTACCGCCACGGACAATCGCGATAAAATGCTGCCGGGAGGGCAGCGCTACCGTAGTGCCGTGCTTTGTTTTGACGCACGTCGGCACGCGCATGTGTCAGCTGCGCCAGGCCGTTCCCCGGGCCAATCGCGTCGCGCCGCGGTGTAAATAGACCGCGCGAGTCGACGCGACCACTCGGCGGACTCGCGTCGCGTCGTGCGACGCGCGACTACGTGTGTCAATACGCACGGCCTGGCGTCGCGTCACGTCGCGATGGGCCGCGCGTGCTTTCGACGAATAAACGTCATTCCCCTTCCGCGTAAAATAAAAGGGAAAAGAGAGAGATTCTTACTCCGGTTTTCTGCCCCGAAACGTCCAATCGCTCCGACCCGCTCCGACCGTCGGCGACGTCGCGCGTCGGTGATCGCGAATTATCCTCGGAGTCGACATCTGTCGGAGAAGCGATTCGATCGTTTCCAAACGTCACGATAACTTTCTATTTATTTTTTTTTCTCCTCGGCGATATAATTTATATACATGTTGATTATTTACTCGACGAAGATAATAACAATAATAACTTTACGGAATGTGCGCGAGATAATGTAATATAATAATATAAGCAGCGATAAATATTTAATATATACCACTGCAAACGATGAATAATAAATATACTCAACCTGATGAATAATAAATATAAATGATTAATAATTAAAACTATTTATATTATAATACAATTGCGCACATCCTATTTATTCATATTTAAATAATTCTAATTAAATCCTACGTAGAGAATCGGAATCTTACAAAAATACTTTCTATAAATTTTCTCCGCAATTTTTCATTGAATTTTCTCTCAATATTTCACGTATAACGCCGATGAAATAGCAAAATTAAAGCGTCGACAGCGGAATTTTATCGCTCGATTCGCTCGCTCGCGACATTTTTATGTTTTCGCGAAGCGCTCGCAGTTTCCGACTTACACATTGTCGGCAGATCGTTCCACGGCAATTTCGTCATTTCTCGACGGCGCACAGTCCGCGGCAGCACACGGATCCCGACGGGATATACTCGACGACACAGGCGGTCCACTGGTGAAAATTCGGAATTTTACCAGCGCTCCCGCTGCGGCTTTTAACAACAACGCCGGTGGCAGCACTGTGCGATCGCTAATTTGCGTTGAACGACACGTATTTCGGTACGTTCCCGTGAACTGCGTAAATCACGCGTATATCCCGCGCGGCGACCACGAGCGACGGCTCGGGAAGGTGGACGAGGACCGTGGAGGAAGACCGAGGGCCAATTTTGTCACAGAGGAAGGTACGTTTCCGCGCGCGCGGCCGAGTGTTCCGTCGGGAAACGCGGCGCCCGTCCCCGTCTTCCCCGTTACTCCTCTCGGGAAGGGTAATCCGGGCCAACCGTCGTTCAATAAACAATAGGGAGAAGGCGAGAGGACGAGAGAGCGAGAGAGAGACAGGGAGAGAGAGAGAAAAGAGTAAAGAAAGGAGAGCGAGAGAGACGCGCCGTCCGTCTGACCGATTTCGATATACGATATACGAGGAGAGTACGATACGCGCTCGCAAAGATGGTCGCCCGTGCGACCTCATCTGTCAAGTGACGAGGACGATTCCGCTCCGCTCCGTGCGTTCTCACTATGCGTCATTAGTGGGACGAGCGTGGAAGGAAAAGAGAGAGAGAGCGTGAGAGGCAGAGCGTTCACCGAACTGTCTCGGCCGTCGGGCCGCTAAATTTCAGGTAAACACCCCCGAGGGGAAGGGGGCTGTTAAAGAGGAAACACCGCGGCGGTGAGGCCACCGCCGCGCCGGATCGACGGGTCGCGCGGCCCGCTCCCATATGCGCGAGAGGCCGAGGGTCGCGCTCGCGGTTTGTTGACTCGCGCGGCGCCGCGGCACCTCCCGGCACCTCGAGGTTGCGCGCGGTACGGTCGCCTCGAGCCCTCCTCCGCACCCCGTCCGGTCGGCGGCGACGGCGGCGGCGGAGGCGGCGGAGGAACCGGCGATGCGCGATCGCGAGCCCGATTCATCGCGGTACCGACGACGGTGTAGATCGTGTTTACAAGCGGAGTGTCCGTTTGGAGAATCGCATTTCAACGATCTCTATCTGGGGCTGGGATTGTTTGTTTGTTCTCCGAGCGGCGCCGCGCGCGCGGCTCCCTTCCCTCGCGGCGAGAAACAACACGGCGGCTGCTTACGAAAAAGGCACTGCCGATAAAAAAAAATATAAAAAAAAGTTGTCCCCGACGTTGTTATCTTTAACGACGACGATATTGAGCGCGTCGGATAGCTGATAGCGCGGATTTGCAGGTAATCAGCAGACACGCAATCGGTTCGCATACCCTGGCTATGAAAATGAAGATCCCAAACGGCGGGCCTGGAAATGGGACCTATTACGGGCAGGAGACGGGCATCACCTCCTACGTGGTGGACAACAACAGCGACACGGAGGCGGACGTGCAGGCGATAGGCGACAGTGACTTCTCGGAGTACCTGTGGATGGAGAACGAGGAGGAGTTTGACAAGCAGGTACCGTCCTTAGTATAGTTGATTAAGGCTCCTCCACCGATCGTTCTCGTTACTCCACCCTCGGCGTTTCTGTCTGCGTGATCAGGTGCTTCAACAACTGGAGGAGGAAGAATTGATGGAGGAGTGTCTAGAAGCGATGCTGGAGGAGGAGAGACAACATCAGAGAAACATGAGCTCCACTGCTTGGTCCACGGCTACTGGCACCCCCGACAGTAACGCCGCTGAACTCTGTCAACAGCTGAGCAGTCTGAGGATGCAGGACGATCTCGCCAAGCAGGTACTTAAGAGAAATATCTTTCCAGCGAGAACAATGTTCCCTATTTAAATTCGTCGTTATTAATAAGCGCCGTATTGTCGCTGGTACACGTGAATTTCCAGAGCACGCTAAATCCAGATGCAGCTGAATTTATTCCGGCGTGCAAATCGACTGTGGTATCACCTGTAAGTACATCATCAGAAACCACAGTCACCACAGAACCATCGTAGAAATCTTCGGTGTCTCTTTCACTCTTGTCCGTTCTCCGTTTAAGTCACGTAGAAAATCGGGCTACACGTAATGGTTAGAGTTTACTATTTCCAATTCCGACAGTCGTATCACGCGGATCATCGTGTTTAGATGTTCAATGACTGTGACTGTAGGTACAAAGGTAAAGAGAGGGATAAAGAGCGCGAGTTGTGCGTAATTAATAATAGCGTGTCATCCGAAAACGTCAGTTATAACACACACAATCGAGATGGATCGATGGACGCGGTACCCCGAAATTTTTTATAGACGAGAAACGGAACGCGATATCGCACGGGATAATTATGTCTTTTGTTTTTTTAAATCGAAGCATCAAGGAACAATCGTGTTTGCAAATCGTTAAAAAAGAAATCTACAATTTGTATCTCATTTTCGATCGCCATCTACAACATCAAGGACTGTTTCTCGCAGAGGCAAATATTTTTAGCATTTTCAATCTTTGTATAATTTGTATAAATTGAAATCATTGTACGTCTACGGAAATAACCCCCCCCCCCCCTGCACTGTTCACGTTGAACTGAACGGAGGGAACAGAATGCACTGGTTTAGGAGGAGGACTTTCATAAGTTTATGAAATATGTATATGAGCAGGAATATAGATATGCATATATATTATTCTGTAAATTATGTTTATATCTTATATATAATATATATAATATATATGTATATATATATATAATAATATATATTATATATATATAAGTTATATATATACTATATATATAATATGCGTATATATGTATGTCTCAATGAGATCATCTTATCATTCTTGAAGCGTATGTAAACCATTTTACCTTTTACAATATTTAATCCTCGTCAAGCTGTAAAACCTTTCGCGCGCGCGCACACACACACACACAATGGTAGAACTTTTTACAGCCTGGGAGAAAGGCTTTTACAGCTTGGTATCCAACTATCCAATGGAAACTTCTCTCAAGAGTTCCTTTTTGTAATACTTACAGTAGAGAATGATGAGATGTTTAACCGAATTGTTAGCAGGACATACCTCGCGTGATGCTGAGTTATTGAATCGTAATAGAGCATGATAGGAATAACAAGGACATCGCGTTATTTTTTAGTGAATATTTTGTGGTGTATCAATATTTAGGTGAATCGACAAAACAATCGGGGGCATACATGTAATCGGGAAAAATCGGAATTATGTTATTTGTACAAAAAACTGTGTATCGTCTTGCTTGGAAATTTGCGGAAAAGGAGGTTCCATCCATGAGAAGGCACTATCGTCGAGTCCTGCTTCAGCATTCATTTAACAAACTTAAGATCTCAAGTGAAAGTCTTACTTAGGCTGTGAGGGACTCTTTTTACGACTCTTTTTTAGTGACGCTGAGAATCAGGACACACATCGCTTATTTTTTAAACCGGTTATATTTTCGACGGGTTAATATTTCGAAATTTTTAGAAGATCGTAGATCGTAGAATGTAACCACGATGAAACATGAAAGATAGAGTAAATGGTGAATGTACTTCAAACCCGCTTGAATGGCAAGAAGATTGATTTGACTTTCGATGCATGATATATCTATATGTATATAATATATATATACTCGTTATTTATAAAAGTAAATATCACATCACAAGTTTTGATAGTAGGTATCTTGTTTAGAATTTTTTTTTATTTCCCTTTTTTAAACTCTTTGTTATTTCCCTGAACATAAAAATTTATTTCCGAGTTGCATTGCCTCGTGAACTCTATTTGATTAGTACAAGTTTTATCGATTGTATAAATTTAAAATCAAACTTTTTGCGATCCAAGGTTCTGCTAGTGATTAAAACGCATTCGTGCTTACTTAAGGGTGATATCTGCCATTCTTTTTAATTACGAATGTAAGTGTACGAGTTTTAACAAGATCTATACATTGAGATATCTATATATTGTTATGTGTTTGCATTCTATATTACTTTATGTATGATAAAATATTATGTGCACTTTAGTCACACAGCCTGGTTTTAACGTGAATGTAGAAAACTGTGATTATCAAAGCAGCGTTACTAATTTATACTGAATATCATTCAGGTATAAGACATCGTATATTAGTCTCTTGCAATATATTTAATCTGGACTTGTTTACCATCATCATGTTTGTTTTACGCAAAAAAAAAATGATATTAAGCTTATTATAATGTACACTCAGTTACAGACCTAATTGCCGGCAGAATAAAAATCGAGTAAAAAAAGGAAAAACGGCTGCACGACTTTGGAAGTAATCGGATATTTTACGATGCGATTAAATAAAGGTGAACGAGAAAATAACTTATTTTGCGACTAAAAAGGATCTAAAAAGAAATCAAATTAATGAGTGTAAAATAGAGACTGATTTCACGTCCATTTTTACGTCAGCTTTAATACCCGAACTAGATCGTAGATCCATCTTTTAATTATTACTTTACAACTAATATAGATTCTGTGTAACATAGAAAACCATTTTGCAATACTATACTATGCTGCATATAATAGCTGATATGCTAAAATACCGACGAGAAATGTGCTGACTATTGATTCAGCGTCTAAAGTTTTGATTTAAAAAAAAATCTAGTTTATACGACGTACGTCTTAAAATCTCGTTTCACTAGACTATCGAAATGACTTGACAGAGAAAAGAAACGTATATATACGAAAAAAAAAATGCGATTCATTTGCAGATTATATAAAATAAGGCAGCCGTTAATATGTGGAATATATATATATATATATATATATATATATATATATTTATACATATATATCATAAGTGTAACCATGTATATCCATTCATTGTTCCATCATTGTTCAAATTGTACAAATTTGACTTCGTCTTAACGTCTTCACAGATGTCAAGATTCAATATACATTATACGTGACACTAGAAATCGCATCGCGCAATAGACTCTACGCGAACTGAGATTTGTAATACTTATAAATGCCGCATAATTTCTTAGAGAGATTTCTTACGCCCATTAAACTCTTGTCTCGAATTTTTGGTAATTACCGCAACACTTCTCCTTTTACTCACTTGCATATATTGGTATCTCTATATGTAATATTAAGAACACTAGGTTATTCTTAGGATTTAAGAAATGTGCAGCTGTAATCTTCTCGTACAGTACAATATGAAACAGTACTACAATAAACGGATAGTCATTACAACATCGTAAATCATCGCGTGATAACTGAATTATACGTATCTGCAGTAACCAATGCGAACATTGTAACTCGAGTCTGTTGTAAGAAAGTTCGACCACACTTGAGTGTTTACTGAAAACTAACTGTATCTTTTTAGCGTTATGTTTAATCAAAAGGAAAAAAAAGTACAAAAGCAAAATGACATAAAAATATAAGTTTTATGTTTAAGTCACTTTTCTCTGGAAGAATGATAAAAATTTGTCGTTCTCCGTATTATGTTACATATTATTTTACCGCATCATACTTCGTGCAATGACAACGCAAATTGGATTGTAAAATAATTAAATATGTATTCAAGTTAGGTGATATTACTTTTATATATACTACTTTAATTTATAATGTATTTTATCACTTCCAGTAAATTTTTGCATTTGTGGTTTTTTCGTGCCTATACTCCTTTTTTTTCTGTAGCATTTAACGTGTACCGTGTAAAGCGAAAAATATAGATATATGTATTAAAATACAGATAAAAATTTGTTCCCATTTTTTTCTAATCCCTACGTCAATAATAGTGAGCATAAGTCGACATACGTGCTAAATAACAGACAATTATTATGAGAAATGCATCACCTTATATTTGGCAGCATATCAGTTACAATGTTTTAATCTTAAAAGTATAATTAGTACTTATTTTATAATAAAAAAAAGGCGACGCCGATTTCTTACATAATATTGGCATCCGCTTCATGTCGTAGCAATCGATGGCTCGATTTTACCTTAAAGTATCTAAATTATAATATAAGAATATGGGTATATATTTATATGCGTCTGCATCAGAATACTGAAATAATACGTTCTGAAGAAAGCATAAGATGAGTGCATCGGAAGTACAGCATTGTTATACATTTAATGCAAAGATAAGTAACGAATTATGTTGATATATAAAATTAATCTTAAATTATTGCATTTTTTTTGCAATTATAAAGCTCGTTACGAACCAGAGAATGGTATTGGCGCATCATCGTCCTTATCTAGAAAATTACACGAAATAAAAATAAAATTATCCATGTGCATAAAAAGAGAAATATAATCGTACCGAACAAATTTATTACAACGAATAAATCGTGTGTTCGATATATAACGTACGATTCTTATATCTATGATGTTATCCTTCTATTAACTCTATTTATAGACGATAGGGAACCACTTGAATGTAATACTTGATATCTATATCTTATTTGAGAACTTCGTATATTACAAAATACGAAAAACATTCCGTATGTATTTATAAATAGAAATAGATAGATATATATATATTATTTATATAGAATTATTTAATATATAGAGCAATATGTATATATTGCTCCAGGTTTCTTTTGGCCTTTCAATAATTGAAATCTTACTAGTATTGCAAATGTTACATGAAGTACAATTATATTTAATATTATAACGTCAATCCTGACATACTCGATTATTACAGTAAAATCGTTAGTAAAAGATTATTATCGTTGGGATATGGACTAAATGGGCATTGAAATTTCCTTTCTTCGCACACCTCCTTTTCTCACATTCAGTTGCTCGTTATACAAAAATTAAAAATAACACGGGCATATTTACTTATATACAAGTTAATATATTAAATATTGTAGTATAATCTGCAGTCTCTTTATTTCGATACAATACTGTCAATCCATGATTAAGTTTCATCGACTCTATATGAGCTTCGTATGAGAATTACAAAAGATAATAATATATTTTCCACGAAAAGAGAAAAATTTATATACAAAAACATTTCCAATCTATATATCGTAACACACATTGTTCGAATAGATATTAATAATAAATCTTAATATAGATAGATGTAAACTGTAAACATAAAAAAAACGACTAATATAAACAAAATGTAAAATATAAAAAAAATTTTATTACGAGAAATAGCTTGTCCTCGAAAAGTCAGTAGACAGGAAGTACCTTTGCAATTCGCTGCTCGAGTAAGATGTACGTATCTCACTTACAGCTAGAAAAATTTAAATAATATAGGAATTCTAAAAAATCTCGAATATAAAGATGATCATGCAGCATGAAATCAAATACGATCTGTAACACAAAGTCATTATCCTTAATTGTGCCCCTGTAAAATCTGAGATATACATATATAGGTATATATCTCAGCCTTTTTTTTAATTCGTAACCTCTTCCTTCGAAACCTTCCTCCAAAGTCGATTATCGGGATTCATCGGGATTACATGTATTCGCTTGTATTAAGATTATTGTTCTTGCGATTAACAACTAATAACTAACATCCGAGAATACTCGTGCGTAGCATACCGCACAATTATTAATAGGTAAGTGTAAATGAAATATACGGATTCCCAAAACATTACCATCCTATACTTATCTTTCATCCTCCTTTATTTATAATGTTGAACTCTCCAATAATGTTCAATCTCTTGTAAAATCGAGATATACATGGAATGAGAGTCAGGATTACTCGCTGAACCGACTGCTACAAGTCGATTGCTCTTACAGAGCCGCGCATCACTTCAAAATGAATTAATAGATATTCTTCGCGTCTTAAACATCATCGAAAATAAAATATCTTGGCCTTACGATTCTTAAAAGGTGATGCTATATAATAATACGTCGGGTAGCGTTACGTCCTTGTATCGTGCCACGGTATTTGTAATTCACCGCGTCCGATCAATACGAGACAATCGACACGAAAAAAGACCAATATCTAAATCAGAAATCCATCAGACTCCACGACATCCTTTAATTTATCTGATGGTTCTAAAAATGACTTTTCGTGTTAATCGCCCCTCGTGTTAATCGAGCAAAGCGAATTACAAATATTTTAGCAAGACGCAGAGACATGGCGTTATATCATTCCTGTTATCGTTTACTTACATCTAGAGAGAGAGAGAGAGCGAGCTTATACGCTCTCGGTAGGGCTCTGAAATTCTGAGAGTGCATGTATAGGATTCTGCACTTTCTTCTGCGAACCTTTACGTACTTTCGCTCTAACTTCCTCGGGTCGTTCGGGACGAACTAACGGTTTCTTCTCCGGGGCTTTCATCTTCCATATGACAATAGGAGACTGATCAAAACATAATAAATTTGTCTTATTATATTTGAATATTTTTATCATTGATTTACGATGATATCATGTTCGAAGATTATATTAATATTAATTACTATCACTGTTATGTTTTAACATATTTATTATAATATTAATATTAAATTTAATAGACTTCTGAATCTCTACTACTCAATAAGATTATTAAAGCTCTACGAGTTTTATGCATGGATACTTACATACTGAAAATCCATGTATATATTAGGTACAGCAAAAAAAATTGATAAAAAAATATGATATACAATTAATCTTAAGGTCCTATAAGATGGAAATATATTTTTATTATCAAAAAATATTCCATCTTTTAACGTGATTTACATTAAAATCTACTGTTGATTAAAGAGCGATAAACTGTAAAAGACTCTCAAATATGACAAATTACTATCAAACTATAACAGCTTCTAGCAATAAATTGATAGCATATCGAGCTGCTGCAGAATTAATAAATAACGACGAAACTTACCGTTACCGTGGATTGTCGTGGATATTTCGTTGACGCAACGTAGGAAGCCTTGACAGTAAGCACGACGGCGTTCATCAAGTTTTTGGCAGCTTGTATGAGGGAGGTTGCGCTATCTAGGCCGGAAACAATCAGCTCGCCGCTGATGTTCTGCACATCCGCCTTCACCTTACTCGTGATATTCATCTGATGGCAATAGAGGGCTATGCGTTGCAAGTACGCGAGGAGATCCTTCTTCGTGGAGCTTTCCGGGCACTGATCGGCGATCTGCCTGGTCAACTTGTCCAGTTTCGTGCCAGCCTCGGAGATCTTCTTTGCCGCGTTTATGACGTCCATGGTCGTCTTCAGGGGGCCTCGACCACGAGTGAAGTCCGTCATCTCCATCATGATCATGCACATGTGCTTGGCGAGAACGATAATGTCATTGCCGGCGTCGTCCCACTTCGCCACCTCTTTGTCGAACTTGAGCTTCTCGCTTCTGAAGTACTCGACCTGCTGCAAGATCTTCTGCTTGTCCTCCTCCGGCATCTTTCTCATCGCCTCGCGGGCAGTCGTGATGCCGCTGATCTCCGGATACTCGTCCACGTTGTGCTCTCCGGTCTGAGCGCTAGACTTGCTACGTGTTTCCAGCGTGTAATGCTCGTCCAGTTCCACATCTTCGGGATCCAGATCTTCGTCCGCCTACGAACGATAACAGCGAATTAGAGAACGACGAGAAGAGGGAACAATTATACTTAGAAACTTTTTGACAGATTTTCTTACCCTATTCATGAGCACGGCTCGCCTGATCTCGCGAACTCCGTCGTACACCAGTCTGGACGCGTCAATGAAGTCGTTCTCGTCCACTTCCTGCGCCGGATTACTGCGCAGCGCGTTCACGGCCTCTTCCACTCGTTGCTCGAAGTTGGGCATCACCTGCTTTCTGAGGACCTTCACCGCCTCGAGAACCCGCTTGGTGTAGATACACGGCTCGTAGTTGTCCATCTCGGCCTGCACGACGTTGCACACCCTGGCGGAACGGCCGAGTATCGCGCCCGCGTGTCTGTCCAGGGTGTCGGCGTCACCGGGACGCACTTGCAACGCCAGGACACACTTGTTGACGTCGTCCAGAATATGGTTCTCGGAGACCGCCAGGAAATCGTCGATCGTGGTGATGTCGTCCACGGCCTCCGTCAAAACGCGCATCTGATTCTCCCACGCTTGGCGGAACACCTTCATGTTGTCCTTCGCAACGTCCGTGTTTCGCGCGGCCCACACGCGCGCCGCGTTAATCACCTGCGGGCACAGGTTCTCGATCTGCGCCGCAGCGTAGCGAACCATCTTCACGCCATCCTCATTGTTAGACATACTGCATACCAAATTGGCCACCTGTTCCAAAGTAAACGCGAATAATTAATCATCTTATTACGCGCAAGATATTCTAAAACATTTTGCATGGCATACGTAGCATGTGTACTCAGATGAAAATTTATTTGTACAAGGACCGTGTTTTACCTCCACAAGTTTGTTCGCGTGCTCCGTGAAAATGAGCGCGTATTCTTCCACCTCCTTGACCCAGCCTTTCTCCGCAGCTTCATACAGGGCTTGCAACGGTGCGCTCGTTTCCAGGAAACTGTCCGACACGTGATCCACCACGGCTTTGCGCAACTGTCTGCGAAGATCGCGGGTCTTCCTGCACATGTGATCTATCGCCCTCTCTAAGCCCTCAGATTGTTCCTTAACACCCATCTGTCAACATATATTCGTCGATTAATTTCGGACAATATAACTTCTCATTAAAATATTTTTGGATTTTTAATTTACAGGTGTAAACAATTGCTTAATATTTGACATTGTTGTTAGTTTAAATCCGATTATAGAAACAAATAAACATGTATTATAGGAGAAGGATATGTAAACCAAATCATCAGAATAATGTTATTAATACAAATAGGAATAAACTGTTTTTTTTAAATATACTATTATATACTATTATATCATAATTTTTAGCAACATGATTGCAAGCGATATAAGTATATTTACAAGTTTGATATATATTTATACACTAAAGATTGTGCATAATTATATATACAGCTCTAATTTTCTACAGTTAAATTAGAGAACAACCTTCAATAGTCAAGGCTAGATATCGATGTCTAATGTTGTAATATTTCTATAAATTCCAAATCCATATTTCAGAGCTATTTAAACTGCGTACCGAGTTATTGTCGGACTTGTAACGAAATCATAAACTAAAGTTGAAATAGTAAGATTACAATTAAATTGAACTGAAAAATTTAGAATTGACATAGAAATATTATTAGGTACCTATCAAGCTCCAGCCTTGAAGGTTGAAAACTTCTCTCTAATTTAATTGTGTAATTCACTTACGCGGTCTAGTTCAACTTATTATTGTTTTTAATTAGCTGCATTTTATATTACATAAGTATGCAAACTGAGAAACTGTTGTTACAGGAGGCTGCTGGAAAAACCTCCAAGCATCTAAGCGGTGAACAAGAAAACTTATAGTTTCTACAGTATGCTAGGCTATCGTCTCGTATATTGCATTGTATATTGCGTTTAACTATTTTGTTATTTTACATAACTACAACGTGAAATATTAGTTATTTAATATTCACATATAAAAAGTGATGGAAATTACGATAAAAATAATTATGAAACAAATTGTAAGCACATAGCTAATAACAAAGCTAACGATTAGTGCTGATCGATTAAATAATAAGTATGCAGTTTGGTAGTGTGTGAGAGATCTAAGATAATGTGTATATGAGCAACAAAACCCATAGAAAGTGTAGAATTACTTCGCATATTTACCCGTCTCCCACCCCGAGCGCGCTGTAACTGGCCATCACCAACAAAAACAAATCAATAGAATAAATATTGTTTTAATAAAACAAAAGTAAATTGCATCTCCTATATGCATAAATACCAGTATGTCGTCTAAAATTTGATATAAGGTAGAACTAATAACAAACAAAATCTTATGGATAGAATGAGTAATGTACATAATTACGTAAATAACATTTGAAACTCTCTAGTTTCAAATTATTCTATCTAATTAAAATAACCACTCTGTCACACAATCAACTATTATTTAAAGTTTAATCGCTCAATCAATTCTATAATTACATATAGGTATTCAACATATTAAGGATGTTTAATACATACAATAGTAGCAAAAAGTTAAAGGACTAATTTTGACGAATATGCTCTTCTCATATAGTTTGAGATAATAAGGATTGTGCAGAATGTTATCATTTATTCAGAACTAGAGCATAGAAATGCTTCTGTTGCTTTTTTCCTGAGAATTTTCGAATTCTATGGCCAAATCTAACCAAAAAATTCAAATTAAAATCCTTATAACTTTGGATTGCTTCAGTAAATCGACTCCGGCTTTTGTCTTAAGTCTTTCAACATATATAAGAAGCAATAATAGTAGCAAAAAGTTAAAGGACTGATTTTGACGAATATGCTCTTCTTATATAGTTTGAGTAATAAGGATTGTGCAGAATGTTATAATTTATTCAGAACTAGAGCACAGAAATGCTTCTGTTGCTTTTTTCCTGAGAATTTTCGAATTCTATGGCCAAATCTAACCAAAAAATTCAACTTAAAATCCTTATAACTTTGGATTGCTTCAGTAAATCGACTCCGGCTTTTGTCTTAAGTCTTTCAACATATATAAGAACAATCTGTAAAATTTTTGTTAAATTCTCATTATTTTAAAAATTCTATAGGTATA